GTTCTCGTAAAATTTTTCTGTCTCCACACCGCCGTGGAGCAGGATCATAATTTTGAACGCGGAAGCGAGCTCGTGAGGTTAATTGTTATACTATGATCCGCGAGTTTAATCGTAGCTGAGGAAATTGTGAATCGTATGATTAATTGTTTGGATGGGATTAAGAGGATGAAATATGCATTATGGAATAGTGTGACGTTTTGTAGTTTAACGAAGGAGAAAATAATTTGAAAAATTTGGAGGAGAAGTGGAGTAGTTGGAAGCAGGGAACAAAAGTGGATTAAAAATTTGGAAATCCAGGATTAGGGAAAATTGATATTTGAATGAGCGAAATTACGGTTGACATTTTGTAGCTTGACGAAGGAGAGAATGATTTGAAAAATTTTGGGGTGAAATGGGATTTCTTGAGTTCGAAATAGTGATCAAAAGTGGAATTTGAAAATTTTTGAAATTTAATTAGAATATTAAAATTAGTTTGAAGAAGTAAAACGTTACGTTTCGGAATTAAGGGATGAAACTCTTCATTATCAGTATCACGTTTCTTAATTCTAATGTAAAAGATACTATTTTTAACTTGGAAGTAAAATTTGATTACCCGACAAAACTTTGGTAATAGTCGAGTGTATATGAACGCGAATAGTTTCCCAATTTGCAGAACACAATATGTTTCCATAACTCTCTAAGTGGTAAATGCATATTTGAATAGCGTGGAGACGTGAAATTTGTAATGAGAGAAACCGTGTAGCAAAGCTTGAGAGTAACAATGTAAAAGTAGGAAGCATATTGCAAGGTATATACAGGAGATGTTTCTGTTTAACGGAGAAGATTGTGATTAAGTGCGGTAGTTTAGTAAATTACGCAGCTTGTTCTTCTTTAATACGTCTTTTCCTTTAACGAACCACGTATTTCGTATTCCGGCTCGTCCTACATTCTCCTTGTACCCGTTAAAACGTAATTACGTGTAATAAGAGGTACATTGTAAGATTCCGAGGTTGAAGATCAACTTCTTTCCTGCAGCCTATCATAAATCCATATATCTTCACCTCTCTGCTCTTTACATCTGCATCGAACAAACATTCTTCCGAACAAGTACAAAACAGTACACTCTGAGAAAAAAAAGGAAAAATCTGTCGATCCGCTCTCCCCCACCAGAACTAACAATTACACGTAACGAGGTAACAGAAAACGATCTTTCCAAAAGGAGAGACTCTCGCCATGAAGTCGTCCTGTTGTCCGCATTTCGCGAACGTTTTAACCGTTGCTTTAAATTGAAAGTCGCCGCAGAAATACGAGCGATTTCGAAGCGACGAACGAACGGTTCCCGCGGAGGACATTACCGAGCTTGATGCATACGAATTCCGCGTGCGAGGATGCCGAGAAAGAGGGAGAAGAAGGAGGTTGAAACGCGCGTGTCATCCGCGATGGGGGAAAAAGAACAGAAGCATCTGTCGCCGGTGTAGCTCGTCGTAAATTTGCGCTCAATGTGCCATCTAAATGCTCGTAACTAACGTGTGTGACCACACGATGTGTTCCATAACGCAAGAGGGAGAAACCGTAAGAAATGAGAGAGAGAGAGAGAGAGAGAGAGAGAGAGAGAGAGAGAGGATGATCTGCTTCCTGCTTTACACACGGTGCTGCAATGATTTACACGCGTATTAATTTAAGACGAAGATGATGATCTGCTTCCTGCTTTACACACGGTGCTGCAATGATTTACACGCGTATTAATTTAAGACGGTCCAAGACGGCGACGAAACGTGCGTATCTCAAAGGAATTCCTGTTAAATTGAAAATGATTCATTCGGTCCTGGTGGCGAGCTCGTTCGTCGTTGTTAGATGGCTTCGTTTGAAGCACGCGGTTGCAATTCGAATTGGCTTTAACTGGGACTCGACGAAGTATGTGTGTGTGGTTCACGCTTATCTGAAGGCGAATAAAAATTAACAACGGGATTTAAGAGAGCGTGAGCGCGAACATTCTGCCTTATAAGCGCGCGTGTTGTACCTGCCTTCTCTATACGTACATAAGTACGTGGCACGCGGCGTAGCGGTTGGTCCCGTGGTTATACGACTGCCTCGATACGTTATCCGGCCGATCCGTTCCACTTGCCGCGACTTATTATTATCCGGAACTGGGTCGATCTTGATGCGTGCCGTTCACCTAGACTCGCTTACTTCGTTAACCCTTTCAGCCTCACCGGGTTGCTGCTTTAGCGGCCGTTCTGACAACCGCGAAACTGACGGGGACTAAGAAGAGAGGTTGAAGCTGCGGGTTAATGATGGAGCACTGTTGTTGTCTGTGTCTTGTTAACGTGTCGCGAGTCTCAAGCTGTGCACAAGTGGTGTTAGGTTAGAAGTTAACGATCGCTACTGGCCGCCAAGGTTTATCGTTATAGATGACGGTGATTCGATGTTGAATCTTGCGAGAAAGAAAGTTGAATTTTGTGTTTTTTTTTTTTTTTTTTTTGGTTTGGTTTCGTGTAATATGTAAAGTGTTAGGCGTGATCGTTTTATACGTGAGAGTGCACGATGCATTTGAATATTAAACGAGGGTAAATTGAAGCGTTGAAGGAGTACGAACGCGAGGGATTATCTACATCTTTATCATTAGTTAGTACCCCAGCATCACGCTAGAAACAAGGACAAATAACGCTTATCTCGATAATGCGGACTAAACTTGTAACGCGTGTAAAGTCGTTGCATCGAGACGACCGGGCTCGAAACGCTGCAGAAATTTGTCGTACATGCATGCACCGTGTGTACTCTAGATCTGGCGATACAGTTTTCACGTCGAGCGCACTCGAAACGACGACTTTTCGTTTGAATGTAAAGCTGGTGTGTGTTGCGGTAATAAATTTGACGCATTCATGAATATGTATATGGAAGTTTGCTTTCATTTTCTTGGCGACATTTGCAGGATCTAGTGTTCTGTTTCAGTGCTCCTTGTTGTCCACGTTAACGGCCAGTCGTAAAACGACGCTTCTACGAGTATATTGTTCACAATTTACATATTGAATCTGTTGTCGATGTATTTTGCTTCGATAAATTGCTCATCTTTTTCTAAAAATTCTTGCATTCTTCAAATCGTTCTTTAACACATCTGAGAATATATTTCTCTAGAAATTTTAGCAACACTCGGGTACATTAATACTCTTTCTAATCTTGTTCTGAAGATTTAAATAATTCTCTGATACACCTGAGAACATATTTCATCAGATATCTTAGCCTAAGTTATATTTTTCTAAATTTTATTCTTTCCAAAAATGTTCGAATTAAGCAGCCCTACTAGCTAAACTCCCTAAACTCGAGAAATTCTAGCCACAAAACAATGATACCAGCCAAACAACACAAGGGTGCATTAATACAATTAATCTTCCTCAACCCACTTGAGTTTCTAATTCACCTGTAAACCATCCAAACAATGCCATCGATCGTAGTTGCTCTAAATCAACCTATTCACTTCCAACTAACCTTAATTCCACCTGGAGAGTCTGAATCGGTGGCCAACCAATATCGTTTCACCCCTCGAACCAAGCTCGAAGTTTGCTCTCGCATCGAACTCGATACTCTTTTCGACCAACTTTCATCCCACGATTTCACTTTCACGCCGCAGGATTTATATTCGACTCTCGAGTCCCAGCCAGCCGAGTATCGACGTGGAAGGATCAGCATCCCTGCTGGAAGCGCCGGTGTAACAGCCAGCGATAGTCCTGAGGGGAAGCTCGCCACCGGAAGTCACTTATCTCTTCTCCAAATAACATTCCGTCTTATCAGCGCGTCGTCTAACAACCGCGAGGGACATGCTTTCCTCGTGAGCTATTAAACTTCGTTATGACCTTACCAGTGCTTCCAGGCCGCCTTTATACGCCTCGTAAAATTTATCTAGGACCGTGGCCACCGTACATTTCGAATTGTCCACGATTCAACCTTTGTTTACCATCGTAAACGCCATTACAAACGTCGTGAGAAGCACCTCGTTCTCCCCGAAATCGAGTTTGTCGTTTCCTCTAGTTTAACTTGGCGAAACTTGGCTTCAGACGACGCGTGGAATAGACGAATGGGTAATTCTGATTACGAATGGGCGAATCATAAATGGTAAACGGTGATTCGACGGGGTGAATACGCGTTTACAATATTGTTGTGGCTGTTTTATGGGAATGTTAAGAAGCGGAGATAAAGTGGCGAACTGTTGAAGGGGAGGGAAATTTGTTAAGTATGATTTGTTTTGCTCGGGGAAAGAAGGAAACGAGGTAATAGAGGGGAATTAGTAAAAATGGAAGAGGTCTCGGTGCTGTTTAAAACGAACGGAGTAGGTAAATTGCGTAATACTTGGGTGATATTATTCTTCATGGAAATAAGACGGGGATAAATTATTCTCGTTTTGGAGGCAAAGAAATTATAATTGGAGCACATTGCGTTGAAGTGAGACGACGACGCGGCGTACCGTACGGGGAGAAAATTTCCCATGAGCGTATTTCATTATCATATCACTCCGTGACTACGCGAGAAGTCTCCTCTCGCTAGAACACTCATGCAAGTTTTTATTCTAATTAACCGTAGTGTATTCTTGAGAGCGGTTGTGAATTGTTGGTGGTATCGCGTTGCAAGAAATTTCACCGGTCATTTAATCTTTTTACGTTATACTATGTCGGCTACAAGTTGAAAACGCCTGCATTGTACGCTTATCTTTTTCCCACAGGTAATGTGGATCGTTGCATCGTTGAGATTGCTCGTTGGTGCTTCTGGTTTCGTGTAATTTTCCGATTTAATTATTCCAGCTTTAATTTCATAGAATCTCCTACTCGCTGATCTTCTAATGTTACCCTAAACGCGTGCAATTTTCATGAAATATTGTTGCAAACAATCGAATTGAATGTTTCGTAATAAAGGGTTGTTGCTGCGAGCGTGATTGCGCTTGCTAACGAGGATAACGAACGTGAGGAGAATATACCGATACACTTAGGATTATAATTTATTCGACTTTATTATGTACATCATTTTTCAACCTACGCGAACATCTTCAGCTCGCTGAGAAACACTCTCATCCTCTCTCGAAGTTCGTCCGCGTACCTCAACGCGGACTCGTCCACCTGAACGTCCTCCATCAGAAGCTCACAGTCCAAGTGTCTGTCGTCACAGGCTCTGTGGTGATGCTTGAGAACATCCTCTGGATCGAAATGATGAGCTCGCCTAGTGGACGGGTTCAAGGTGGTCAACGCGTAGTGATTGTGCACCGTTAAAGCTCGCCTCGTTGAGACGAAACTCTTCACCGAGTCGCCTTCAGGCGAGATGCAAGCTGTCCTAACTGTGTCCAGGTAATCGAGGTCACCTAAGAAATTGGTCGAGTTGAGATCGACGGTGGTGACACGGTCGGTGAGATTCTTGGCTTGCATCTCCGGGAAGAAGTACGCGTTTCTAACAGCGTACGAGGCGAAATCCTTGAAACTTCTACCCAGTTTGATCCTCTCGTCGAGCAACAGTTCGAACCAGTTCTTCCTTCGTGCTGGAACGATCGCCTCGTCGATGTCGATAGGTAGCACGAACTCTGATCGATGAAGATTATCGTAGAAACAGTGATTGTACGGTATCAGCTCCATTCGTCTTTTGATCCAGATGTCCTCGCTGAGAAACCGCCTTCTGGCGTTCTTCTCGTTGGGTAGATCGCCAGGTAGAGTGAGATTGAACCATCTGATCACGTTGGATCGTTCGTACAGCCTCAACACCCTGAGCACGTTCTTGTGCACGTTGAACACGTAGAAGTAGAAGAGCTCGGCGCCTAGTATACGGTGGAGCTCGACGAACGCGACGATCTTGGAGGAGATGTCCTCCTCGAAGTCCAGCCCCTTGATGCACAACGTGAACTGCCTGCGTCGTTCCTCGTTTCTATCCTCCGTGTTTATCGCTAAACTATGACTAGCATTCTGGTGGCAGGGATCCAGGCCTACGTGAACCCTGGCTGGCTCGATCGCCGCGTCAGGAGGTAATTGACAGCCGACGAGAATCCCCGCGTAGCTGTCCACTGTCTCGCCCCATTCTTCCAACCAAATCGTCGACACCAACGCCTCCACGCTGACTGCTCTGCCTCGATCCTCCTCCTCGTACCTGGACAACGAACAGAAGCAAAAAAGTCGTGGATGAATATTGGGGACGTCGTTGAACGAGGTCAACGAAGATTTGATTTTTCGACGATAGAAGCTTAGTTTCGTGAATGGATTTGCATGATCGTTTGGTAATTTTGTTGGACAATGAGGAAAGTTTGACGGAAGCAAGAAGTTTGATTAAAACGGCTGTCCATGGAGGATGGGTTGGGAACTGGTTTAGTCTTATCGGATGAGAAATATTATCGAAGCTGATTAGAGGAAATGTGTTACTCTGTTTAAAAAGTTGAAGGGGAAATAAAATCAAATGGAAATTTTTCAGTTTTGAAGCAATATCTGTTTGGTACCCTTTGAAATAATCTCCATTGCATGTAATACACTTACAGCAATGGTTATTCCAATCTTCTGGGATGGCTCTTAGCTCATTTAGCTAATTTTGTTTTATCGCGTCAATCAGGATGACGTTAGTCGAGCTTGTGCTAAAAAATTCGCGGACAAAAATCAAACTGAGCGTTATTGTAAATTCGTTTTTTGCAGATGAAATCATGCAAACGTCTCGTGATATGATAATCGATACATAGTAAATTGAGCGGACGAACCAGTTTCTCCAGGAACTTTCTGAACAGAGTAGTATTGCGTCACGGTGTTACGTCAACGCTCCGATGTAAGAGAAGAATGAAACGATGCAGCTTTGGAAGGTCCATACAACAGGGAGAGGAGGGAGTCAGAGGGACAGAGTTGAAAAGATTAAGACGAATCGAAGGCGTGAATCCGTCCCGGAAAAATGTCTCACCAAACGGTGCAGAAAAGGCCAGAGGTCGGCAGAGGTCCACGTTTAACGCCAATCACCCTCAGGCTCGGATAACCGGCCACTCTTAGGTCCAAGTGGGCGCTGTACAGGAAGAGCTGTCCGGGGATTGTCTCGAGCCACTTCGCGTCGGCTAACTTGAACGTATTTAACGTCGTTCCGTACGTTCCATTACCGTCGCACTCCTTGGAGGGTCTGTAATCGAGTGCCAATCTCCGCGCCCACGAGTAAGCCACGATGCTTCTTGTGCCCGGGGGTTCGCCACCTGGAAAATGTGTCAGGGAGATTGAGACCGTGATACTAGCGTGACGCATGCTACGCTCTCCTCATTAACGCGGAAGCAGCGCGAGCTTTTCGGCTAATTAATTCGAGACGAGCCACGTGCACGCGTCGTGGCTTATTAATTGGAAAGCTACGTCGCGTGAAACACTGAGCGGCTGTACTTTTTGAATGTTTCTTAGGAGCACGAAATTCTTCCGACGGATAACTAGGAGATTCTCTTTGTTCTCGTTTCTGTTCAAACTAACCTTCCGTGAACGATTTCGCGCGAATACAGTATAGATTTATTAATATGGCTAATTTTCTAGGTGGTTGTGTATGCTTTATCGCATCGCGATTTTTTTTTTTTTTCTTTTTTGCCAGGTTATCTTGTGTGTGAATCTTACAGTGGTTGGGGAGACGTCTCCCCGAAACCTGTATGTAACAAGTATAATTATTTAGGTTTTGTTAGTCACGTAACTGGTATACTGTTTCAACGAGGAAAGCTTTCAAAAACCTCTGTAATGCATGGGCCATTTTGAAGGAATAGTGTTCTCTAGGGTTCTGCTAACGTGAACTGGATCCTAGACTTTGCTATGGAAAACAATTTAGCCTGCCTTAAGACGCAATACGCTTTGTGGGTGGTATTTACATTAAGAGGCTCGCTTAACGTTGCAAACGTTACGCACAGTTTATGAGTTACATCCTGGAGGTAGGATCTCTCCTCGGTAACGACTCGAAACGGGACAATTTCTCGGTAGCTAACGCGTTAACGTTTTTTGCGATATTATGCCTGCCGTCGTTAATTAATTTGGTTGGGAAGCCGGACCCCACGCGTAGACTAGACGGTGTCATCGTACGCCGCGGAATAGAGAAAGGCACACACCGGCCTAGAAGACGGTTCGAGGATGTTCGACCGGACGGAAGCATTGCGTCATCGAGAGAGGCCGGATGCGGTACACCGTGAATACGTTTGCGTGTCACTGGACACGGATCGTGTCATGTTGGAATCGTTCTACCTATAACTCCACCGTAATTTCCTTAATTCCTGTCCCAAAGCACGTCGATCCGCGTCACTGACCTCGGACGAGAGCGTCGATTAGTTATATATACAGAATTTCAATTGCACCGTTCTTTAATTGGCCACTAATAGCAAAGTGCGCTTCGACTGCGTACACAGCGGTGGAAAACTCGTTTCACGCGAAGTCACGAACGGCCAAGAGTCACGACTACTTGCGGCTCTAGCCATATTTCCGTTTCTTTTGCCACGGCGATCGATTCGTTTAATGAATTCAACGGTGAAATACGCCATTTATTCACGCACGTAGAACCGCCGGTTGACAGTCCCACGCGACCTGCTCCGCGACATTTAATCGGTGCTCATTGAGAACGAGAGGTGCTTGGGGAGAGGCTGTTCTTAATTATCTTGTGACTCTTGAGAATGTGGTGGTTTTTCGGTTTCCTCGAGTTTTGAAAATTCCAACTGTTTTTACTTTCTTCGACAGGGGAGATGTTTCTTGAAATGTGGAGAATAAGTGTTGCACCTTTTTTAGTTTTTTATTTTAGTTTTGAGAGTTCTTTATATTTTTAACCTGGGAATTTCTTTCTGGAACTGTGTTTTACTGTGAGGTTGAGATTTTTTTTTAATTTAGTAATATAGTAAATTCTATATACGTTAAAGAGCATAGTCCCTCAAATTTTAATACAATTTTTAATTTTTCGCAATTCACATAGACGTGAAATAATCTCTCTTTATTAAACCTCGAAATCAATATTCCTCATCTATAATCTCTCTACGATAACGAAAGCGACACTCGTAATATTCCTAGTAGAACACGCACCCACTAAAATTGCTCATAAATTAACGAGCGCGACTGGCCAGGCCGGGCCCGAGGATCATGAAGCGAAAGGAAGGCACGTTTACTACCGATATTTCATCCTTTTCTCCCAGCTCTATCATTCGCTTAACCATGTAGCCCGTAGTCCCGCAGCATCCCACGTGCACACATAAAATATCCATTTTCCGTTAATCCTCGAATTAAAGCAGCCTCGCCGGCCAATTAAAACCCTTGCCCCACGAGCAACGCGATTCCACGCGGTCGTCTCGATCCCGCGCTCTCTACGCCGTGTAAAACAATTTGTTCCGTTCGAGCGAGACGCCGATATCCCGTGCCGTGTACCGTCGTTAAAAGTTGTGTCTACGCTTGACCCAACGACCGCGTATTACGCTGATGCCGCGTACCATCTAAGCCTGCCCTTTACCAGTTACGCTTCCTCCTTTCCCTCGGCGACGTATTAGCTGCTTTACGAGAAAGCAGAAACGTTGCGACTGCGTAAGATCCGAGAGAAAAGACCGGGAGAAGAGCACGTATGAAGAAAATCGGTGGCGCGTTTTCAGCGTTGATCGCAGGATACTTTCTGTGAAGTAATTGGGTGTATATTGTAAGAAGGAAGGGGTGTTACAGGGAAGTCGAGGCGATCGTTGGCTGAATCGGGCTGTAAATTACGTCACCTAATGAAGTCGCTACCGCCAAGGAACCGTGTAAAGATTTGTGTCCACGATAAGCCCGTGTCACCGCTCCGCGGTTGATTTACGGCCCCACGGGGCAGCTTTTTGCACGCGATTCTGACCAAGTCGATTTCGATGCTTTTCTCAGGGAATTATCTCGAATGGTACCCGGTGACAGGGCTCGTTAACGTTTCAAGCTAATTTAGTGGAGAAAAGTTGCTCTGGTTCAAAATTCACCGATTTACTGCTTAACCCTTTGAGTTGAGAATTTCTTTTTTGAAAAAAAAAAAAAAAAAAAAAAAAAAAATGGGAATTATTTTTAAAAAAATTTCTGGTTTATTAAGTTAAGGAGAGAATCTGATGGTTCTACTTGGGATAAAATCTGTAAAAAAGAATCTCTCTGTGAGATACGAAGAAGATTTTGAATCTACCGAGTCAGAAATTCCAGAATATAAACCGGAGATTCTCGTTATTCAGCTACACTGACTACGAACTGCAACATTGAACCTACGTTGAGCTTCACAGGGATCCTTCTCATTCAAGCACATTGGTTGCAAAATATAACCCACAATTTACATTCATTTACTGGTACAACAGCTTATTCAAACGGGAATCTAGCGTCTTATTCAAAGGGAAACTTGGTATACGTTGGAATGGCCGCGATTAAGCGTAATCGCTCGAACTATGAATTAATGGCCGGCTAGAAACGCGCGCGGAATTTTCCTATTCTTTGTCGGCTGTGGCTAATGCTGGGAAAGTATTCGTCGGTAGGAAATAGTGCGAACAGTACGGCACAAATCTCTACTAAACTCCGAACGGGATAATCGTAGCACGTGAGAATTGCCTCGTGTGACTGCAGACCCTTCTTCTCGCCCGTACATCAATCGCTGTGTCAGCGAAAGGATTCAACCACCTCTCGTCACTTTTACTTTCGCTCGGAGCTTTTTTCTCCTCGTGTCAGCCAGAAACGGCTTTCCGTTGAAATTACGACCGTTGTAAAAGCGGAATTTACGATTTAATAAAGATGCCGCGTAATTATGATCCCATGGATGCTATATATCGAGAGTATAATCTGATTTCAGGTTACACGCTTTTAATATATCATTCTGACCTACTGAATTTTTACATCGAGTATAAATCTCCGGTTTAACTCTTCGAATCGTCAGCAATTTTTCCTTCCTTTTTCCCTCGTTTTCTTGACTTTCATTTCGGAGTTAATATCATCGAATTTTCCCTGAATTTTGTTACTTGGCATTTTTCTATGAGCGAATGTGTACAATTTGAAGGGATATTTTGATGGACTCGAGAAAATTTCGTTCGATTCTATGGAAGAATTTGAAGTTCTTTATCATTTCCAATATCCAACGCTATTTCCAAACTGTCACCGTGCTTCGAGGCGACGTTGTTTGTTCCTAGTGAAACTGTTCGAAATAAAGTTCTATCGGCATTGGAATGATACATACATACGTCGTATGGAATTTACGGCATCTTTCTCAAAGTCCACGATCGACCGATCAAAAAACTTATAAATCTCCCCCGTGATGCCCAGACCCGGGTACTTAGACTTTAGACTGCTTTGATATGCAAATACGCAGATATAGGAGAAGATAAAAGTTGAGCATTTGCATATTTAAAGAAGCTGTTATCGATGATCTTTGACTCGGTGGTTTTCATACGAGGAATATAAATTTAAGATACCTGTAGGGGGGACTCATTTGCTGCAAGCCTAGTGAAATATTGCTTTCGAGACAAAGCAAAACAAACGTTGTTTGCTGGGCTAGGTATTCCAATAAGAATACACGCAGCCTCCCCCCAGTCTGCAGGTAGACACTCATCGATTGTCACAGAACTTTCAAATTCAATTACCTGAACGCACTTTTGGAAACTTACGATAAATTACCCGACGATAGAAAATTCAGCAGTGACTCGGGTCTGTGTCCTAATTATTTTCTAATCAATAAACAATCGATGCAATTGTCGTTAACCTTTTTCACCGAAAATTATCACACTGGCGAGTTTGAATTTTTGGTCGAAAATGTAAATCGAATTGAATTCCACGAAATTGTCCTATTTAAACTATCGAGGCTATCAGTTGCAAAGTTTACCCTAACCAGTTGAAACTAAAGTGGCTCGATAGGGAGTCGAAGGACGCAGAATGGTCCGTGTCTAATCGGGCAGCGTGAAAGTAGAAAAAGGAGAAAAGAAGGGGGCATTGTTAGGTGGCAAAGGCGCGTTAGTGGGTACGGGTTGCGAACCGTTCAGCGATAACGAAAGGGCAAGGGTCGCGCGCTGCTGGAGGCGAAGGAGCGCGGCAACGAAGAAAATTGCTTACCAGGCGTGGGAGGAGGATCCGCCGGTGGATCCGGGAGTTGAGGCGGTGAATCGAGCAGAGTCAACACGCACAACGCGGTGACCAGCACAGCGACTAGGCCCACTCTGCATAGCCTCCTGGTGCCTGCGACCGACATATTCGCTCTTGGTCCCCCTTTTCGTCCTCGTAATCCGAGGCCGTTCGACTTTGGATCACCTGGCAAACCTCGAAACGCTCTCGGACCGATCCATGTTTCCACTCGCGATTTGCAATTCAATTCTAAGGGGATTCCAGACCGAGGAATCCTCCTTGGAGAGATCAGAGTTCGTCGGAGAAAACGAACGCGACTAGCCGCCCCCGTGAGCTATTCTGCGACAATGACGACGATGAGAAACGAGGATGACGAGGATTGCGGCGCGCGACTAGGAAGCATCGAACAACGTTGTTGTTTTTCACCTCGATTCACCATCGGATTTACCGGCACGTGTAATTGTAATGGAATGTACGCATTTGGATAAGACCTGGATTCTGGTTTTGAATTAAATCGATCGGTGAATGAGTAACGCATCGGTGGTGACCGGCGCGAATTCACAGCGATGCCAGTGAGGATCGATCAGCGGGATCAGGCTTTTCTGGTTCCCCCGACTCCGCTGTTTTGCATAACACGCTCTGCTACACTTTCATCGCTCTTAACGCTTCTCCTCGCGGATTCTAATGATCTGCTAGAGGAGCCGCGCGACATATATACGCGGCCGGCCGCGGACTGGTTCACTGGAATCGCGGAAATCTGGATTTATAGGATGCGGTCGCCGCTTTAAACGCGATCCTGGCGTGCGTAGCGAGCATTCGACGACGAGATTGAAAGTTGGCACGCGATTCGGCGTTAACGACGCCTTCTGGCCACTGGAGCAACCCAACTGCTGGCTATAGATGAGAAAGTACACAAGAAAGACAGTCAGCACCAAATTTTCAACGGTCTCTTCCTCGTTTCACAGACGTTAACTACCCCTCTAGCGAACCTTCCACTTTCATGGAAACCTGACCGATATCTTCCTGCGATAAAACCAACTTGTTGTTTTCTTCTTGGAATCGTTCATGATCGCAGTGGATCATCACGTGTACCGTGAAATCGTCTTATGGGACTCGGACTTCTCGGAAAAGTGGTTCGCCGACAGATCGACAGAGACCGGTACTACGCGAATCAAATACTCGGTAAGCCTGTTTATAATAGTCGTCTGTTATAGGTTTCGCGTGGGTTCTCCAAGGTGAGGCACACGAATCTGTCTTCCCGGGTTGCGTAAAAACCGTCGTGGAAGCTGTGCACGACCTCCCACGCGACGCTTCTGCTTCTTCCTGCGGCTTCGTAAGCCACTGGACCATGTATGGTCGTGCTGGAAGCGCTTCCAGAGCAACTCGCGGGACCGTCGATAATCTAATTAACCTGGTATCTCTGTCGCTTTAACCGTTTTTTGCGCGCCACCGTTTCTTCTGCATCCCGTCAATCCTGCTCCCAGTCGGCCCGTTCGCTTTGCTCGCCTTTTTCTTCCCCTCTTGCCTCCTGATGCTCCACTCTTCTTTTCTCCTCAGCTCTCGAGTTCGCTGCTCGTTCTTTCTACGCTTATTTGTACGACAGGCCACGGAATCGACGGATCCATCATCCGAGCTTGAAGGATCGTTACCGATCGAATAAGCGGTGTCGATGAATCGACTCACGCTAGCGTGACCATTCCGAATTCATTCGCCACCACGCTCGATTTCACCACGAAACGTGGAACGATGAGATTGCGTTTCTTTGTCGCGTGATCCAGGTTAGACTTTGTTCTTTGTTAATTCGTACCGTGAGAACCACGATCTTGATATTCCGACCAAGTTATTCGTATACGATCGATAGACAGACGACGATATTTTTAGTCGTTCGTTTTGCCTGGTATCTCTGGGGTTAACGAAGCATTAGGAGTTTAAGCGGCTCGTAATATTCGTGCTTGTTCTCGGTCACTGGACGAGACGTTTCTCGACTTGCTCTTATTGATCGTCTCTGCACTCGATGATCCTGGCGCGCGAGCACGATGTCGATGGATGGAATAACGCCACTTCCGCTCTTCATAGTCTAATGATCCGACCGGTATATCAACGCGACATGGATCTAAACTTGGACTTACAAAGTTTCTTTAACGTTCATTAGACGTCGCCTCCCGTCCATGGCCACGACCACCCAGTAAAATGCATTCTATATTCACGGTAGCGAATTGCCTTAATGAAACCGTAGGCGGAGCTCCCTGGAACACTCGCAGATTACAAAGTTCACGTTTACTCGAAAGGAATACCGATCTCATTCTCTCTACCACCACGAACGACGATCACCCACTTATTTTTCCCAGTTACCTCACCGAGCAAGTGTAACAAAGTTGGAACTGGTATATCGCCTCTTCTCACCAGAAGAATCCATGGTCAACCAGAACTCTCTTAATCCCTTTCGATTAATCCTGAGGAATCGCAGAAAAGTCCCGGTATGTCCACACGCGTATCCTTAATCACGAATTATATCGTCCCTCTTCTCGATCGAATTCCTTTCCTCGCGATCCACCGTAACAAGCGCACAGACGTCTACATCCTCCGGTGTATATCCCTCCGTCCGGCGATAAATTAATGTACCCAGGAGTCCTCGATAATTGTGCCTATTTATAATCACGTAAGAATCCGGTCACTGTTATACCCATGTGTCGTATCCTATATTCCAATTATCATGTCCAAATGAAAAAGCAACATCCACTCGTTACGAATTTCAACAACTCTCATCACACTCTTGTTATTCTCGTTCTACTTTGAACTCCCTCTCTCTATCTCTCTCGCAAAAGGGTGGTGCATACAGTTGATTACATAGAAGAGAGGAGGATCCGTTCTCTGTTCGTTACGGTGGTTAAATGGTAAGCGAAAACACGTGGCCCAGTGGCCTGGTACCGTCACCAAAACACAGCCGGTTCCCGTGGAACGTATGGTGGCGCACGTGGTCGCCGGATCGACCGAGCGGATTGGTGCAATCTCGCCTGCGCGAGAGTCCGGAGCGTACTGCGTTCGAGCGGGAGGTGAACGCGCCACCAGAGCCAGCTCGAGTCTCGACGACTTTGGACCCGTTGCCTTAGCGTGCCTCGCCAATGTGCCTTGCCTTGCCCCATCCCTACTCGTACTCGCCTCACCACGACCTAGCTCTTCCTGGCCAGCCGTGGCTCGCCTCCGCTTAGCTACTCCGTTCTGGCTCCTCTCCGAGCAGCCGGATAGTTAGTTGACTTTACCTTGTCGCAGCCTTGCGAACCACGCCGCTTCGTCTCCTTCGCTTCTGTTTTCTTTTCATATTCGCTGCCACGCCGCTCCTCCACTCCCTTCGAGGCCCTTTCGCGTGACCGTGTCCCCACTTTCGTCGCTCCTGGTGCCGCGTATTAGATCGATGGACACTTTGGTGGTCCATGGGGAAGGTTTCGCCTGGAGGATAAGGCGTCGGAGTGATTTTTCGGAGAGTTGGGTTAGGTTAGGGTGAGATGGTTTGGTGTGGTAGGATTGCTTCGAGAGGGTGTGGATGATGAGGATGTTTCGCTGGTGAAATTTGTTGGGGTAGGTTTACTAGGGTGAAAATTGATGGGTAGTGACGTGTATTTTAGTGGTGGAATGAAGGATGGTAGGAAGAGTAGGTTTGAGTAATTTTTTTTTAGTTTTATTTATTTATTTGTGTATTAATAAATTAATCGAGAAATTAAGTTGATGATCATTCATAAATCGTACGAATAAGAAACTTTTGATTATGTATATAGTGCAAGAGTCTATCGTGGGAATTAATGATGCTGTTTCCCCGAGGTAGTAATGAAGTTTGAATGAAAGCGTAAAATGGATTTGAGATCCTGAAGAATGAATCTAAAAAATTAGCACAGCCTATTTTCATCCGATCTATAAATAGACAAATAAAAGTTCCAGCAGGATTCTTTCCGAATCTGAATACCAAATTGCTGTACAAACTAGATCCGCAGATTTCGTAACACCGTCTCGAATCCAACTTGTACGCTTAATCGTTTCACGTTTTTCTCGTGGACAAACAAACCTTCGATCTTTTTCCCTCGGTGTCCCTGGTGATCGACGATACCTTTCAGATTGCGGCACGTTCTTTCCCCTCTTCCAGCCGATAGCTTAACGTCTCTTTTTTCCGTCGTACTTGCCGACCACCGTGAAGCATCCGCCACTTGTTGTACTTGTCAAAGCGTATTGCACGTTGACCGATGACGACCAGCCGAGCGAGTTCATTTAAACCGTTGTGACGCCACGCCGTTCATTCCGGCCTTCGCGGAGAACAACCCACCTCTCCAGCCCCGGAAATTGCACGAAACCTCGTAGATTTCGCTTGGAAACTATATCTCGCGGATAGAACTGACGGACAGAATGGTTCATTATATGCAGCTGAATAGCGTGGGAGGCGCGAAGGAAACTGATGTAAACGCAAATGAAATTCTTAGGTGCAAACACGGCTGCCGTGGCCGCTTAATGTTTACTCTGCAAAAGAGACTGATGACTGCAAGAACGATTCGAGACGCTTGTCCGTGCGCGGCGTAATTATTCCGGGACTACTCGAAGATGCGAGTTCCTCTCAAGGGTAGAGAAAATGTGGTTATACTGTTAGGAATTGAGTCGTAGAACTTTACCCTGAGCGCGTGTGTTCGCTTTTTCTAACGAAAGATATGTTAAATAGGAATGGAGTATGTCTGTGTGAATGGAGTACGTTAATTGATTAAATTCGCTTTGATTCAAATTGTACCGTCGAAGAGTGAATTTTTTTTTTTTTTTTTTTTTAATTTAC